TTGAAGACAGCTGTGCGATGTCTCGTGATATTATGACAAGAGAAAGCTGGCAGCTATCGCTCAGCTTTCATATATTGCTGGTAGATGAGATGAAGAGAGTGGTGCCTGCTGAGAGTACCAAGAGAAAGGCGGAAGCAATAGATAAAGGATTTGGATTTCGAGCTCATAAGCCGAATAAAAGCGCCAGGGCTGTCGCGTCGAAGCAGGTCAAGAAACATGATGCTTCAGAGAACATCTGTCAGGCGTTCAGTGCGGGGTTGCGGAGGGGGAATGTAACCACGGATAGCTCTCGCCGGAAGGCGGGCGCTTGGACAGAAGCAGGTTAGCGCCTACCTAAGGTCCTTGCCTACCTACCTTACCTAACCTAAAGTATTATTGGGTGCAGGAGGATTCGGCCAGTGTTGACCGCCCTCACTTGCCATTAGGAAGGATGAGGAGGCTTTGATTGACTATGTGGCCAGAGGACAAGGGTGTTCAAGAAGCAGGGATGGCAGAAGCTGTGGCGACAAGACAATTCGAGATCGACTCCATTACTGTAGCAAATGGGGCACTCTTGCATCACCTTCTCTGAAGTATAGCGATTTGCAAACAAGTTGGTCTCTTTGTGCACCTCTGGTTCCTCGATCTCATCTGACGTTGGTGGCAGGCGTCGGATATCTTCGTCCTCGATTATAATGGGATTATCTGGCCTGGTTAGCGTACTTCCTACCACCTCAGATTACCAAGGCCTACCGGAACTGTGAGCTGGAACTCCCGGGGTGTTGCCACGTTTCGGTGACTGCGTTCTCACTCTTGGATTGGGTTCCCACGAGTGCTTGGATCGTTTTGAATCTGGTGGCTATCGGATTTGATCTCTGGATTCTCTGAGCCCTTTCGCTTTCGATTTATAAATTGTGGTGAATTAAACGTTTTCGATTTCGAATGCTGGCAATCGTCCGCCTTGGTGTACGAGGGACTTGATCGAGCAAGGGTTAGCGTGTTTTCTCCGCTTGAGTGAACTTCCTCCATCTTCGCAGATGAGGTAATCTGAATCGTATGCTTGTATCTGCTGATCGGGATAAGTTTGGTGACGAATGAAGTCAGACCAGCGGAGATATTGGAACCTTTATATTCCAGTCGGCTACACTGCTAGCTCCCACAAGTCGAGGTCCACAATCTCCCCAGAGCTGCAATCAAGGAGCGGTATATTTGTAGACTCTCTTCCACACTGAGGAGCCATCAGAGAACCAGTGTCATGCAATGAATATTCTCCGTGAGAATCAGAGGACTCATAAGCTGTAGGCGTGTGGCTTGTCGCACCTACTGTCATGCCGTCCTGCATCCCGTCCCGGACAACCATTGGATACTGAGTTCCCTCATTCTCCATCACGAAAGGACCTGCTCAGCCCGTGAGAGAAGAGCGTGGTGAATAGCTGGGGTTATGAGCGAGACCTACCATCAACGTGACAGGAGACCTTCGGCTCGGTTGAGCCACGGGCGCATGCGGGACATACGGGTCCAGCTTGTGTTGAAGAAGAGAGTTCGGACTCAGCAGCTGCTGATGCCCCACTGCCCTCTACCTGCGGAGCGAAATCCTTAGAGGCGGGTCGTAGATTGTCTGCATCATGCTTGTCGTTATCTACAGCGTCTTGTTCCAAGATAGGAGTCAGCGCTTATTTCCCCTCTTGATGTTGATACCCATTGTAAAAAAGATCAGAAAAGCGGTAGCTCCACTTACAGTTGCAAGAGCCATCTTGTTGTCGTCTTTGAATGTCGTTGACAAAGTCATTCTGCCACTGTTCGCTAGAATCACCATCTGTATCCACATCTGCAGTCGCGTCCTTGGTCACTACCCAATCATGCTTGGCCAATTCCATATCGAATGCATTGGAGTACACGGGGATCGTATGCTCGCCGAGACCAGAATCAGGAGCCGAATAAGTATTCACTTTATCGGAGGGGCTAGAGTTCACGCATGCTGGGAAACTTGGTCGTAGGGGATGTTGAGGAAGTGGATGAATCAACGACAGGGTTGTTTTTGCAGATGGGCGGAGTCCGCTAGAAATGGAAGGATGCGGCTGTGAAGGTTTGGGAGGGAGTTTGGCAGGAGGAGGATGATATGGGATGATATTGTCTAGAGTGATGATGACCATGGCTGAAGAAGAATGGAGTGGAACGGAGAATGGGAGATGGTTGAAGACTTGCTTGCTGGCTTTCCAGGCCAGAAGCAGGTCCAGAGACCCTTTTATATTAAGCTCACTGTCCAACTGTCGGCAAGATTCCTGTTTTCTCGGCTTTTCAAGCCTCTTAGATTCCAAACCAACCAACCTCATCGCCGCCATATCCATATCCATATCAGCCCTGGCCATCAGCGGTGCCAGTAAACAAGGCTATATTATATTAACTCCGATTCCATTCTGGACCAATTGAGGGGATGCTTTGCATAGAGTGGCCGGCATGGCTGAACAGAATTGGACCTTGAAGCCTGCACGGTGACAATGTCTGCCGTGTTGCCGTGTCTAGAACCAGCAGATTCGTCGAGGCAAAAAGAACCAGCCTGCATCTCCAATCACGGAGGGACAAAGACAGCCTCTCTCCCTTTCCCTTTCTCACACCAGAGATCATCACCGAAAAAATGATGCTATGACATGACTGCTGACACGTCGACAATCATCCGAGACACCGAGAGCTGGGCGAGAAGTATGCATTGTTATGCGGTATTTTTCCAATTGGCCATGGGAAGCCTCTGACTGATGACACTGATGAGCCTAGGATCCGGTGGCGTATCCACCATCCATGTAACCGTGGAAAAGACGAACCCAACAGGGCCGGATTCTGGCCGTGGTCAGCTCAATACGTCATCAAAGACGAGAAAAGCCTGCTGCCGGACTGCTGATATGAGACGGTAAGGAAGGGCCAGTTACTGATCTGGGTCCTTGCACGCATCAGCGGGCCATGTTCTGGATCTCAGGATAACCCCATACTGCTCGTCGATTCGACCGGATCGGATCGTGCCATCCGTCGGTGGAAATTGCGGTCGGTAACCGCGGACACGGCGAAACGTCTCAGAGATGGCTGCCTGGAAATGAAAGGTCTCGGAGATAAGGGGGCTTCGCTCGGTCCTTCCAAGCTGCAGCATAGAGCATGAGAATCCCGCAAGATTGGCGGACGCTGAGTCCATGGGCGAACTTGGAATGTAACGCTGGCGCATGGAGTGGGGATCCGTGGGACCGAATTTTCAGCTGCCCTGCTAGCCAGGCGGGCGCGGCTAAGCCCCTGGCGGTCCGCGAATTCCAGAGTCTGCGAGAGAAAATCAGGACGAAGGAGGCCGTCGAGGTTGAGCGACGCACTCGCGGTTTATATACTTGGTCGACGAGCGGGAAGGGCGCCATGCCCGTTCGGGACGAGCACGGGTGCGCCAAACCGGATCAGGTCAACACTAAACCCGACGCGGGCACGCCAAACCCGAACGGGGGGTGCGGCCATCTCCGGCATCGGTCGTGCAAATCGAAATTCTACTCTTAAAAAGTAGTAATTATAGGCTTTAAATAAAAAAAACTTTATATATAAAAATTTAGATATACTAATTTTCTAATTAATGACATATTTTATTAATAGCCTTACTATATAATTTCGTCAAGAAATAAAGCCACAAAATATGCCAGTTTTGCGGGAAAATGGGTTTGTGGCGGGAACTTTGGTCCCCTAGGGGTATATGCAGGCGCAAGGATATCCGGCATGATAACAAGGACACGCCCGCCCGCCACAAATGCACACTGTGCCTGAGCACGTTCCACGGCAGCTCTGGAAGCATGACATAGATCTAGTCAGCAAGTTTCTTTACACAAAATAACAGTTTTTTCTTGATAAAAAAAATTAGGAAATCGAACCTTTTCTTTGTCTCTGACTGTCAATCCTAATTCTTCCGTGAGAGGGATGGCGGGGGATGTCTCTTCAGCTCTTTCGACATTGTCGAGCGTAGACTCTGTATAGTCCGGGGCAGGAACGACAACGGAGAGAACGGTGTTGTCAGCATGCTGAGAAGGAGGATGTTGATGGACTTCATTGTGAAAGATGGACTGATAGATAGTTCTAAGTAGAGCAATTGGCTAGCGTAGATTTGAGAAATCAAGCTTGCTGTCGATATATTTTTTGTAAGGTATTAGCAGAATCAATGACATGGTATGCTAGGCTTTCTGTCATAGAGTGAGATTGGAACACATATATATATTCAAGGGAAATTCCGCTGTGTAACTTTTCTCTCTCTCTCTCTCTCTCTCTTTCCTTCCTTCCTTCTTTCTTTTTTTGTTCCTTTCTTTGTTCCTTTGTTTCTTTCTTTCTTTTACTGCTCCAACTAAGCGGAAGAACCCAACATGGGGTAACATCACATCGAGTTATACAATAATACTTCCACCTGTAATACACCACAGCCATAATAGCCCCCGTTAAACCAACCTGCGCGACTTGTGGGACATGCTCATACAGACAGCAAAGATCACTCCTGCTATCAGCTCTGAGCATGACAGACTCGTCACTCTTGTCTTGCTGGCTAGGGAATTTGGAATCTTTCACCGCAAGAAGAAGGATGGAACCTCCAACAAAGAAAAACAGGAAGAAGAAGAAGCTATTCTTCCCAACGGACAGAGATTCTGGACCGATCTTCCGTACTTGGTGGAAGAGATTCAGGATGCCTGGACCAATGAGTCGAAGGGGTTTACGGCCACAGAGCGGCATAATTTCGCCGTGTTTACTGCCAAGCTCTGCGCAGTTGGCGTTTGTGATAATGAGCTGAGCTCTTGTGCGCTTTGGTCGATCAGGGAGGCGCTTGAGACGGAGAGATCCATAACGAAAGCCGAGGGTGCTCCTCTCTCAATTGCTGATATTCTCCCTGCTTGCCTTTCATGGTTCCAGCACAACAATTTCAAGCTCCTGAAGCTGGCGGTCCAGAATTACAATGATCATCACACCTCTGCTATGGCTGGCGATGACGTCCAACCCTCAATAATGGCACCTGGTCATCTTGCGGTCAAGGCAAATGTTACACAGTCCGGTTTCAGCGTTGCCAGATGGTTGTTCTGGAGACAGTGGTTTCAAAGAATTGAGTCGTTGCGGGAACGACCGGTTGCCAAGCTTGGAAAAGAAGGTTTCGAAGAGATGGTTCGGACTGGGATTGCGTTGGGATACGATATTCCAGGCGAGAAGAAGTATTGGGAGAAGGTTTTTGAGGCGCTTGATCAGGAGTTTGTTGCAAGGGGCAGGAAGGGTTGTGTTGGTCCTGACGATGTTGAGATTGACATGGACTGGGCGGACTAGTCGATCAGACTCCCCACAGATAGGACAATGTTCACGAATCCAGGCAAATGTAGCCGCTTCGCAGCGTAAGTTTTCTTCCACATTGTCTGGATACTGCGTTTCTGCCAGCTTACATGGCAGAAGACATCTCATCACGATCCGGGGAGTATGCCACTTGGTGATCCAAATGGGAATGCAGACATGGAAGCGTCCTTGGAGCCAATCTGATGGGGGTGCACCGTGCAGTATGAACTGCCTTCTTGGGTAATTGTAGTTTAATTTCTTACTAACCGTCTTAGGTAAAAAAAAAAAGTACAATACTGACAATTAAATATAATCCGAGAAAGATTAAAACTAGATATATAATGGAATGGCCTTTCTTATATGTCTACTTGGTCACCTGTCCTTTGATATCTGGTTGCCGGTTTGGTCGCTTACTTGTATCCTTGCCAATATCCTCTTAACTGCCCTTATTATGTGCTATAATTCACAAGATTCTTTGTCTGATCTGCATGAGGATTTCATCTTCCTTTATTGCAATATAGAATGGTTTTAAGGATGGGATAATCTCATCCCTATCCCATTTTATGTGGATTGGATTCCTACATCATATCCAGCAGCAATGCCTACGTATCTGTCAGTCATGACTACCAGGGATGAAGGGCTCAATCAGACTAAATCAAAGCAAAGCAAAGAAATGAAAGGAATCTCCCACATACATCCACAATAACGAATTCATTCCATCCATCTGAATTTTTCCCAGGACAGGATGTGTTATAGTCATCCCAAGTAAACATCCACCTCGATCTCCACATTCTGCTCCGGAAAGGGCAGCGACTGCACGCCGATCATCGTCCACGTCGGCTGGTGGTTCGGACACCACTTCTTGACGTTCTGCACCATCAGCCCGATGATCCGGTCGCGCGTCTCGGGCAGGTTGACGTGGTAGGTCCGGACGCGGGTGACAAAGTCCCAGCCCGTCTTTGAAGGTGCGTTCGACCGGGCCGGGTGGTTAGATTTTTCCAGGGCGTAGAGGATGACCTCGTTGATGTTGGCGAAGGCTTGTGCGACTTCTTCTTCGAGCGTGGCGGGGATGGTGGTTGAGTCGGGGGCCATGCCCGCTGGTTGCAATATCCCAATTAATTAATCAAATCATATTAATATCAATTGTCATTATATTTGTCAAGGAAGAGGAGATCTCCGATAGTAGAGAATAATATAGATTAGACTAGCTTACTCTGCCCCGCGACTTCCATCCGATCTCCAATGATGCAGGCCTCGCTGAAGCCAAACTGCTGTTGCCAGTGCTGACCCCGGCCGGGTCGGGAGTAGTATGATAGCGATGACATGTTGCTTGTCTTTTCTTTTCTTTTTTTATTTTAATTGATTAACTGATGGAGTAGCAATGGAGAGGAAAGGAATGACACAAAAAGTGACAGATTCTTTGTCAGAGGGAGAAGGCGGAGTGGAGATGTTGGTTGTTGGCCCTAATTCCTTTTTATCACAAATCACAACTGGGGCCAAAAACTAGGCAATCAGTCATTCAATCATCTTAAATTTTCCCCTGAGAGACATAAATTTACTCTCTATATATGTGACTAGTCATAGTTTTTGAATAAATGATTGGATGGTTAACGTGCTCGAAGGGCATACAATAATCTATATCGAACGTTACCAACAATAGGTTATTCTCTTGCGAATTCCTATTTGGCCTGCAACAAGATGGCCAAGTAATTACGCATTGAAATTAGCCAACAGCGGACCGCTAAACACGCCAATGGAACTCGAGACATTCGTGTCACCGTCTCGAGATTTACTCCACAGATGATGTTGCTATACCCGGAATTCCTTTGCGCCTTTCTTGCTGAGTTGATTTTCCATCATGACTGAAGACTCGTCCGCCGCAGATGCCAGCTTCAAACTGGCCGACGGCCATGGCTACATGCTCGATCGCAGCCACCTCGCTGCCTGCCGACTGAATCTCCAACATTTTCTCTGGCGAGAGGTCTTCCAGTTCAGCATCCACCCGACCATCCAGCGCCAGCTGCCCATCTACCCAGACCGACCCCTCGTCATCGCCGACGTCGCCGCCGGAACCGGCCTCTGGCTGATCGACGTCGCCCGCGAACTGCCTCCAACGACGCAGCTGGAGGGACTGGATATCGACCTGACCCAGGCGCCGCACCCGCACTACCTGCCCCCGAACATCCGTCTGCGCGAGTGGGACGTCTTCGACGAGGTGCCCCCAGATCTGGTGGGTAAGTACGACCTCGTCCACGTGCGCCTGCTGGTGATGGTCCTGTCGGGCGTTGATCCCCTGCCTGTGATCCGCCATCTGGCCCAGCTCGTCCGGCCGGGCGGCTACCTGCAGTGGGACGAGCTCGACTGCGTGAACATGCACGTCAAGAGGGTCAACCCGTCGGTACAGTCGCCAGCGCTGGACGAGCTGGTCCGGATGTCCTATTCGGACGGGCGCCACAACTGGCCGCTCGAGCTGCCCAAGCTTTTGATGCAAGACGGCTTGTTTGAGGACGCCCAGCTGGAGTGCTATGGTGACCCGCCCGGGGTAGTCCGCGCCTTCAACGACATGCACCTGCTCACCATGGACGAGTTCGCCTCCCGCCTGATCCAGATCGGCCAGCACGAGGCCGCCGCCAAGTTTTATCGAATCATCCGGGATGGCTATCGCGAGTGTGCCACGGGCGGGGCGGCATTTTGTGTTCCGCGAGTCGTTGTCACGGCAAGGAAGCCAGAGCGACAACAACATACGGAATAGTTGATCTGTTATCAATAAATACAGATATACGTGTTATGATTTCTGGCATTTCGGACTAGCTCAATCCTGTATAGTACCGAGTTAGTACTACTCGAAATTCAAGTATGTGTAACTACTGCATATGACCTACAGAAACCCGCCGGCAAGCCGACGAAGTATGTCCCAAAGAGTCAAAGTGATGAAATTTCTCCACAACCCAGATGATTATCATATCGACCTCCTACTTGGCTTTTCCTTTGCTAGCTTCGTCCTCCTTGAAGGGATTGAGCGACCCTGCAAGCACGGTTTCATCCGTTATTGCACTGGCCATATACTGTAGAAAGAGTTCGGTCGGTCTGTCAGCCTTCGCTTCTGTGGAAAAGCAGTTCCCCTCGGAACAACGTGTCATCGTCGGTGTCGATGTCGGATATTATCGCGCTCTTGAGATGCGGAAATCTCGTGTTGTGGTGATGGTAAATCGCCTCGACCTACCACTGTGGAGTGTATTCCGAATCTTGAAGGGCTATTTGCGGAGGACCGTACTCCTATGGTCGCGAAATCCATGCTCAGATTCACTAGTTATTCAGGTGAGAAATAATGCATCATAGCAACCATTAACTGATGGAAAGAGGGCTCCAGGACAAACATACTCCATATAGCATCATCCTGAAGACCGTGTATTTCACATCCGGCCTTCGACTGCGCTATGCAGACAGATAGCGGAAGAGCTAACGACAGAGTGCGCGCGTACGTTCCACTGGCGTCTTTTCACAAAGCTGCGACCTGTCATGGTTATGTTTGGTGAACTTAGTCGCGACAGACCCATCTTTTGGCGTGGTGAGCAGGTCAGTCAGATAGGGGTTAAAAAAAAAACACGGGTAGAGGTCATCCGAAGGTTCAAACAAAGCACCCGAATCCCAGGCACCCGAATCCCAGCTTTTGGGGGGTCGCCTGGAGAGAATCAGCATTGCGCGAGACTGACAACTTGTTCTTACAGCTTCTGGAGAGTGTGACGGTACACATTGTTCCTTGTTGCGCTCTTTGGTTTCCTGACAGTAGCCATTTGGGCTGATGAGCAAAAAAGGACTCTCAGCGAAGATAGCTGCTGCAAAATATCGCTCTCCTGAGCTCCGCGCCCCTACTGTGTTTTTTACTGTGAGAGTGAGCAGCATGGCACACTGCAGGGTTTATATATTCTCTCCAGTTGGATCAAACAACTATGTGACTTCCGGCGTCTGACAGCCAGAACTTTTCCACAAGGTATTATAAGAGAGATTAAGAAGGTCTTTGGGCACAAGCGGACGGAGCCAGACTTTGAAGACCTGAAAGATATTTTTGCCTCCCTTTTTCATTACGTGCCGGATACAATTTATGTCCTCGATGGACTTGACGCTCTAGATCAGGCACATTGCAAGAGTCTGTTAACGTTCTTCCGGTCACTATTTTGTGGCTCCCTGTCACCGCAAGGTTCGCGAATTCTCTTCCTCAGCAGGGAACAACTTCCAGGCTACGTAAACATGGCTACGTTCATGCCGGGAATTCGTCAGATCTCGACTTCATCCAACGTTATGCAAGACATTAAGACTTACATCGAAACGAGTATCGCCGATAAAACAATGTACAGAAAGCTTACTGATGATCCCCTATTGCGAGAAAAGATAAAGCAGGTACTTCTGACTGAGTCTTCAGGAATGTACGACACCGACTCCATTCTCTGCGTTAAACGTTGACTGACAGGTGTAGGTTCTTGTGGGTGTATCTCCAGCTGGAAATTCTCTGGGATACATGTTTTACCGACACAGAAATACGATCAGCCTTAAGTGAACTACCAAGAGACCTGGAAGAAACGTATCGCTGTTGTGTGAAGAGAATAAAAGACAGTCGTGCTCTAAAGGTACTCAAATGGATTAGCTTTGCAAGCAGGCCGCTTCACATTGAGGAATTGAGGGAAGCCGTTGCCTTTGATCTGCAAGATACTGCGTGGGACGCTGGAAACATACCACGGGAAGATTTTGTTATTGGCTGTTACGCGAATCTTGTAGTTGCCGATCCAACTGACAACTGCGTTCGCTTTGCACACTCCTCCGTGAAACAATACCTTGAAAGGGATCGAGGAAGTTGCATTCCAGGGTATCCTATCAGTGCAGAGCAAGGCGAACTCGAGTGCGGAGAGTTCTGTGTTGCTTATCTCTCTTTCTCGGACTTCGGTCTTCAGCTAGTGACGAAGACTCCTCAAACAGTGGCTGTCAAAGTTCCAAACCCAATCTGACTGACCGGTGCATCCCTCGCGTCTCCGATCAGCAAGCTTCTTTCCGAAGTGACGAGGAAGCAGAAGCGTTCGACGTCTCTACAATTCCGTTCAATACGCTCAGTCTCATCTCCAGATCGCTCACAATATAAATTTCTCGATTACGCGACTGAGAACTGGGCATTGCAAACAAAACGCATAACTAGTACGTCGACAGTCTGGGAGAAATTCAAACAGCTCGCATTATCTTTCAATGAGTCGTGGAACTTCCACCCTTGGGTGCCTGGTGGTCGTTCACCTCTCTCCCAACTACATGGGGTCTTCGGATGGGCGGTCAAGGAACAACACATGCCTCTTCGGTCCATTGCGCTGAATTTCAAACAAGATTTACAGAGAGTCTGCAATCTTCCGCTAATAGGGGACCGCCTTCCTGCGCTTCATGTGGCATCGAAACTTGGATACTCCAACGTAGGCGAGGTTCTTTTGGATATCTGCAAAGTTAATGTGCAAGACGAAGAGGGATGTACCGCTTTACATCACGCAGCTAGCAAGGGTCACGTGAAAGTCACACAATTGCTTTTACGCGCAAAGGGGGTGAAAGTGGACATCCGGTCGAAATTCCAAATGCACACCACCCTGGCTGGCTGCTAGTAACGGATATGAGGAACTCGTGTCGCTTCTTATAGAAAGGCAAGCGGATTTTAATGCAAATTGCACAAACGATGGCTGGACACCCCTCTCACAGGCCGCAAGGAACGGGCACTATGCAGTAGTGAAGCTTCTGCTCGAGAAAGGATCTCCCCTAGAATCTCAAGATGCAGCTGGTCGAACAGCTCTATGGTGGGCTGTAGAAAAGGGACATGAAGCAGTAATAAAGCTGCTGCTTGAAAAAGGAGCAAACCCGGATTCTGCAGTTACTGGTGGTGGTGCATTGCTAGCATGGGCTGCACAAAACTATGAGGTGATCGCAAACTTACTTTCTGCGAACCCGACCAAGTTCGATTTTAAGAATAATCATGGATTGACACCACTATTATGGGCTGCATTCTGGGGACATACAGAAATTGTGAAACTCCTGCTTGAGAAGGGTGCTGATATAGAGCCTAAAGATCGCTATAATCAGACACCACTATTATTGGCTGCAAGATGGGGGCGTATAGAAGTTGTGAAATTCCTGCAAAGGGTGCTGATATAGAGTCTATCGATGACTTCGAACCATTCCCACGGGTTTCAAGGAATAATTACGAAGCAATAGTGAAGCTGCTGCGCGAGAAGAAGATGGAGAAATCACAGTGAGAAAAATCATCTTGCCAAAATATCTCAGCACAGGTCTGGGATGGCTGATGTTTATGTCGAGTCACTATGAGAGATTTGTGATTTGTACAGTACATACATCCACAGTTTGATGAGAGAAGCTTGATCTTTTTTTTTCCTTTTCCTTTTTATTGATGTGGAATGTGTCCCCTAATTCTATAGAGGTCGGATGTGGATGATCCATGTGCCATATATTTATCTATTCTATCCATTAGTCACCATAAGTCATTCTCATCTTGAGGGTGCTCTGTTTCTGACTCACAAGCCATCTGAAAGAAGAGACTCCTCGCCTCCCGCCAAAACCTACGGTATTCGTTTCTGATTCTACAGTCCATCGTCCGACGTCTCCAGAAACAGTTCCGCTTTCCAAAAGAGATTCTGCCATAAAGGATGATCATGATCTTGCGTAGGAAACGGGCCTGCCAGTAGGAATCCGAGATAAGCCATCCCAAAGCCTGGAAGAGCTGAACGGTAGTGAAGCGCAGAGAAAATTGATTTGTTGGCGGTCCTCATCCTTAGTAGCAGACTCGCTAAGGAGCAAATGCCATGACATCCTTCTTGACCGGATTTGCAACACAATCCGACTTATCGTACCAGCAAGGTTGAAAACCGGGCGGTCCAAAATTTTCGGAAAGTTCAGGTGAAGGGGTGCGCCTGTAACAGCAATAACGTTGTTTGGATCCGATCGGATAGTAATGTTCGCCGTCTGCGTTGGGAAAGACTTGGATGGTATTCTCGTACTTGGCTGTTCCCATTTCTCCGGTGTCAGCGTTTTGGTGACGAGGCCAATCCGAATAAGCAGAACAATCTTCACTTTTGTGCCCGAATGTTCGATCTACCAGCTCGCATTGGAACGAAGTCTTGGTAACGACTCAGACGTTCCAGCCTAAATGACGAGTGATGACCACTCTCCTTGATTGGGTCTGGTCTGGAGATTCTTCCACCACGACTCGCCTTCCTTGCTAGTCCCGGTTTGACCGACATACATGTATCTTGTAGGCCCCAGCCCACAGAATTCATGAGGTGCAAGTCCCATCGCTTCTGTGCCATGGTCCAGATGCTGCACAAAGGTCACATGTGCTCTCTCTTGGGCTTCTATTGGAAGCTTCCCGACTAGTGACTCGATGTCTGCAAAATACGCGAATCGGACACGGCGTCCAAGATCAATTCTCCGCCTTTCGATTTACTCAAAACGCTCACGTCGCTGAACGCCATGTACTGATTTCCGTCCCATTCTCCAGTTTCTCATGCTGAGAGTTGACAATCCTTCTTCATTTGCTGATTGTCGCAAAGTTGATTGCAGCTCAGACGACTCGGGGACTGGCATAGCTTCTGGCGACATGTCAACGTCCCGATCGGGCATTGTGGACGAGCAGAGGTGGAAGACATTGAGGACTGAACTGGTCTCGCGACTGTGTGAGATGAGCAGTAGTTGTTGGAGGTCTTGTTGCGGCAGAGTCAGTAACCATGGTTGCCTAGCTAGGCAGTGTTGGTCGACCTCGGGAGATCTGCCGGCTAACTGTGGAAAGAAATCCGACTGGTGTTTGGCTGTGAAACTGCGTACGATCTAACCTAGCCTCGATGACAGTAAACAGCTGCAGAACCTGGTAAAACTGTAGAAGTTTAGCTATCCGTAAGCAGGAAGTATTGTTGGAGAAGTCGTCGCCAAACAAGAAATCCCCAGCAAATGGACATTCCAGGATAACTTCAAAACTAACAAGCAGAGGCTCGTGTGGATAGATGGAGCCCACGTGTTGGTGGTGATGGATCAGCTAGTCCGGATCCGGCAGCTGATTAGGGCAGGATCTTAGGGCATTCTGACTCAGATGTCACCCAGGGCTCTACGTGAAGCAGTGAAGAGAAAAGAATCACTTGAAAAATGCAAGGAGAATCAGTTACATAATCCAGAGATTTAGCTCCTTTGTCCACGTCGATTATTTTCATACATTCTCACCATACCTTTGAGTGAATTCTTCTTTCTCATTCTTTCTTATTCTGCTGAAATGGTCCCAGACAAGAATGCGAATCGTAATCTTCTTTCCCATCCAACTTCACCAGGACTCATAGCATAACGAAATGCCACTTTCCGCTGGATATCATTGAGCAAGTGGCGGCAAAGTGTCACTTGATAATACCTGAACTACGTCCGATTGGCGGCTACGCGCAAAAAAATACGATTAATATGACTTTCTCGGGTTCTGTTCAAATTCTTTATTGTTAAATTTAGGAACATTTGAGTTCCCTCTTGTCTCATGTCTTATTTTTAATTAACTTCTGGTACCTAACCGAACCTTGGCTTCATCTTCTATATATGTACTGTAGTTAGATATTATCGTCAGGAACCCGAATCTAGTGGTATTTAGAATATTAGAGCAGTATCGAAGTGGGAGATCAGACCGAGGAAGAGAAGCAGAAGAAGGAAGAGAAGTAGGTGTTCGTGTAGATGAAAGCAGTAGGTGATGCGGGGTATGCAAATGGTGCAAACGTCGGGGCAAAGCCACGTGATGCCCCAGTCTCCGTGATAGGCCCATTGTTTACAGCTCGGGCTTCCTCCAGCACATGCTTGTTCCAGCATATATGTTGTAGCGTGTTAGCACATGCGTTTTCTCGATGCAGGTCTCGAATTTAGTGGAATAAACTGGAATATAGTCATACTGTCAGCATTATCTTTTAACAGTAATAAAAAGCCTACCTGGATGTTGTGGTTATTCAAGGAAAAATAATCCCAGCGAGATTGTATGTAGAAATACCCTATGAATGCCGCTCCCGATTAGGGATAGTGGCGGCAGAATCCACTGCACGTGACATCTAAGGTTCTGAGTGCCGTGTTGTTGCAAATAGATACGGCGCAAATCCTCTACTCAACTTGTACTCGTTCAAAGTGACTGTCATTGTCTGAACATATCGAGTTCTGCATCCTGACCAACATAATACCCTGCCCTTTGATTGTACTGTACATAGCGTCATTTACATACTGCACTCTAAGGAGTAAACACTCCAGGCAAACAGTCCACCTACGTGGCTAGGTGCGCTGTCTTGAGCGACAACAAAGCGAAACGAATATCAAGCTTCAACTTCCGTGGTCATCATGAGCCGGATATTGACGCAAAGACAAGCCGAGGAGCTGTAAGCTAATCTACACTATCCATACTGTTCACATCAGCTGATTCAAAACTAGGCACAAGTCCATGATAGCATACCTTGCGTCAATAGATCTATCTAGGAGTGCCGAGACGTTACGAGAAGAGCTCAATATTGGCGACAGCTTCGATTCTGAAACTAGCAAAAAGTACGAGGGGCTATTAGAGAAGAAATGGACAAGCGTTGGACGGCTACAGAAGAAAGTAGGATTCTATGGTCAGCTGTTTTGGGGAAATGCTGATCTTTCTACAGATAATGGAACTGGAGTCAAAAGTTGCAAGTTTACAAGAGGAGCTTGATCGGGTCACACCAGCCTCCCTTTCAAAACCGAATCAAGATCCTACGACCTGGCTTCCTCGATCACCCCCAAGACATACGCTCCAATCACATAGAGATGCTATTACATGCGTTGCATTCCATCCAGTCTTCTCAACGCTCGCCTCAGGTTCGGAGGATTGTACAATTAAGATTTGGGATTGGGAACTAGGAGAACTGGAGAGGACTCTAAAGGGCCACATGAGGGCTGTTTTGGATCTTGATTTTGGCGGGCAGAAAGGGCGCACTCTGCTAGCATCTTGTTCGAGTGATCTCACAGTCAAGATATGGGATCCCAGCAATGACTATGCGAACATTCGAACACTTACTGGACACGATCATTCAGTTTCTGCTGTACGTTTCTTATCGCCCTCGGGAAATCTTCTTGTGTCAGCAAGTCGGGATACATCTCTCCGAATATGGGATGCATCGACAGGATTTTGCGTGAAAACAATTCGTGGACATAGCGATTGGGTCCGGACCGTTTCTCCTTCTTTCGATGGGAAATGGCTGGTGTCAGGTGGTCGCGATCGAGCAGCAACAATATGGGATGCTTCAACAGGAGAAGCAAAAGTGAGCTTGCCAGGCCATGATAACTTCATTGAATGCTGTGCATTCGCGCCACCAGCAAGTTATGGGTATCTAGCAACTTTGGCTGGACTAAAGAAACCACCTCCGGCAAGCAGTTCAGCCGAATTTGTCGCGACTGGAGCAAGAGACAAAACCATAAAGTTATGGGATGCTCGAGGAACATTGATCAAGACCCTCGTAGGCCATAACAACTGGGTAAGAGGGTTGGTATTCCATCCTGGTGGCAAGTACCTGATCAGTGTCGGGGATGACAAAACAATACGTTGCTGGGATCTTTCTCAAGAAGGGAAATTAGTGAAAACGTTAGAAGGTGCACACGAACATTTTGTTAGCTGCATTCGATGGGCGCCCAGTGTCGCGAACGACGCTTCTGGAGAGAACGTAGAGACAACTAATGGAGCCCCGAAGGATGCTGGCAAGTCTGGGATTCGATGTGTCATCGCAACAGGAAGCGCGGATTTATGCGTCCGAGTCTTTACATGATAATCACAAGGGCTGCGTAAATGCTAAGGGGTTGAGCGAAATCGAGGTGTATGCTGAAATCCCAGATGCCATTGTCCCTGAGCAAAATGCCACTTTCAATCATCCAGCCGACACGCATTTATTCATGGCCACGGCACGCTCCCAACCCGTCAGCACTTGAAGAACGGCCTTCTGGCATGATCCTGTAGGGCTGTTCGCGATGTCGCATGTGGCTTTTGCATGGGCTTTGACTACAATGCCGTTCCCGATATCGAACTAGTCAGTCCCTTACAGGGCCCTCAACCTTGAGGCGTTCAATAATCAACTACACTCGCTCCTCCAACCTGTTGTGCTGAGCATATGTAAGACAAGCTCCTAATCCATCCTCCGATTACTTTTGACTCCGGTGCTTCAATGGCAGGCATGATGTCCAAGCCGCTTCCAAACGCACCCAGCCTCTTTCTAGCAATGAATCTGATAGTTCATCCTTCCCAGTCAGTCAACCATGAATATGGTAGCTACTGGAAATGGAGCTCATCCTGGCATCTCACAGTGATATTATTGCCGCCATCACAGGGGCTGCAATTCAGACAATAATGACCTGATTCGTGGCAATAGTTTCAGCCCCTTGCCTTGCAATATGAACTATTGGAGGCTACAACACGGTAACCGAACCGTTGCAGTCGGTACATGGTATAATCAAAACCCAAGGGTCGTCTTTTTCGTGGCCACAATCCAGGCAAGGCATCTTCGAGTCGACTAGGAAAGTAATTAGAACAGAACACATAGAAATATAGACATAGAAATATAGGACGTTATATTGGGGTTTTTTGGTGGGGTGTGTACTCGCATAATCTTGTCAAATTTCCAAGCTTAAAAGCAGCGAGGTCTTGGTCATGTAAGGGGGAAAGGATGCAGATGCCGAAAAGAGCGTCATTATTTCCCCCAACTTACGAACTATAGAGGTATAGTACATACTACATACATGGAGGTAATGTACCACTGTATTCGAGAAAAGGAATACTCCGAAAGAAAGAATCTATGTACATTCCATAAAATGCCAAAAAAAAATCCCCTGTCTGCCTGCCTGTCTACGTACCTGCATGTTGAACGCCGCACCACGCCACTCCACGCCATGCCACGGAAACGTTGAATGTTGAATTTTCAAGTGCATGTGCATGTAAACATAAAATTGAATCTGCCATGCCAGCCAGTCATACATGAGTATAGTACATAACTCCGTAGTATCTCAAATACTCCAACAATCGATGTTGAAAATCAAAAACCCGGATCCTTGGAAAGAATCCATCGAAAGAAGAGAAACAGTCAATTGGTGAAGTCAAGTAGGCTTGAATATACTGACCACAGTCCGTAATTTGGTCATCATCTCATCCCATTCACCCTCAGCTGTGCTAAGGATGGTGATGGCTCCGCCAGCCCCGACGCGCCATAATTCGTCTTTGCCGGGCTGATCATCAGAGCAGCTGAATGCGGTCCGGATGACAACGGAAAAGCTGCCTGCACCTCCCAGATCGAGGTACCCCATGACTCCGGAGTAGATCCCGCGTTTGCGCTGTTCAATCAATGAAAGATGCATGCACGAACGCTCCTTGGGCGCGCCAGTCATCGATCCTGGTGGAAGACAGCGCTGCAAGGCTGTGATACCGTAGAAAGACATATTGGTTGGCTCTTCTGCAGGCTGATGATCCTTCACAATTCCCTTGACATGCGTGATCATCTGGTAGACCCGCCCGTGGTCCTCGACTTCGAGGAGCTTCTCAACATGCACGTTCCCCGACCCGCAGATGCCATAGAGATCATGGCGCACCAGATCCGCAATCATCAGGTTTTCTGCCATCTCTTTCGTCGTGCCGAGAATCTCCTTGGCCTTCTCCAGAGTCATATCCGCCGACTTCCTGACCGTCCCCTTCATTGGCTTCATCTCTAACATCGACTGTCGGTCCCAGTTGAGAAAACACTCCGGACTGCTGCTGGCTATCTTGACATTACCCAGCCGCGCGTACGCACTGAACGCGGCCGGGTTATACGTTTTGAGTTTCTTGTATAGCAACCATGGGCGCAGATTGCGCAAGTTCTCGTCCGGAAGGGCAGGCAACGTGATAGATGTCTCGCCCGTCAAACACAGCTCGTAGGATTCTCCCGCTTCGAGCTGCGATTTGCAAGTGGCTACCTGACTTTTGTAGGATTCCTCGTCGGGAATATCGACAGTGGCCCCGTCAAGGACGCGACCGATAAGCTCTGTTTCTGCGGCTTCTAGAAGACTATGACGATCAACTTCGGGACATTTGGAATCTGTTTTCGACGACTTCACTCGAAGGGAATGGTCACAGGAAAAATCTTGCAGTCGGCGATGGGTCAGAGCGAGCCAACCGTCTGGCTGGTCATCAAGCTCCCGTGTAGATTGGATATATACTGTTCGTGACTCATTATCGACGACGATGCTTCTCTCAACCCATAATAAGCTCACGTCTGGGGGATCCACCGCCTCTGCTGGCTGCGGTGTTGGCGAATTATAATTACCGAGCACTGGTGAAGTCTTGGGATGAGCAAGTCCGGCGAGTCCCATTTCATAAGAAAAGTATCCCAAGAAACCTCCCCAGAATGGGACCTCGTCATGACCAGATCGAACTCTCTTCTTACTCATCACGTGTCTCAGGGTATTCCAAAATTCATCCACTTCAAGGACAGTCTGTACAGATTTCTGTGCGAGATCGCCCAGTCCTTCGAGAAGCAGAGTTTTGTTGGGAACATAGTATTCCAGCCTCCAGCTGTTAGGACTCAGTATCGATATTACATTGAATCTTCCGTTCGACTGGAAAAGGACTGATGGTGAGCCCGGTGTATTTGTCATCTCGAAGATCTTTTCAGCACTGAGATCATGCAGAGGCAAGGATCGAAAGGTACATTTTTCTGACGACGCTGCAGTCAACTCTTCGAGAAGTTGCCTGATTTCTGGATCAACAGTAGGTATGAGGGAACATGTATCGACCATTCCGGGCTTATTTGCGTATATCAAACGTCCAGATCGTTTGTTAAACGCAGTAGCCTCCTCCCACCATCTCTTTAATAGGCTCGTACACGAAGTTGCATCTGACTTGCAAGACTCTGGATGGAACTGAAATCCCCAGAAGGGCTTTTTCCTGTGACGCACAGCCATTGGGATGGTCTTAGAATCAGGTTCACTGATGGACAACCAGGCAAGGAAAGAGAGCTCCAAAGAATGTGAAATCCCTGCTGGCTCACAACCCACTCCGTTTGATACGCTGTCAACTGCAGCATAGAGGGAGTGGTAAAGCGTGACCTCAAAGTCTTGCATTCCCTCAAATATGTCCTCATCCACAGTGCTTATGCGACGAACCTGACCATGCAGAGGACACGGAAGCCTTTGTATTGGAACCCCATGATGAAGACACAGACTCTGAAATCCAAGACAGATGCCCAAGACTGGAACTAATTCCGCACCGTCGAGAGTCCAAAGATCTCTCATGATGCCAACGTCGGGCGCTGACTCGGGATTTCCCGGGCCGGGTCCCAGAACGACCGCATCAAACAGACGCAGGAATTGGAGCATGCCTCCATTGGGCCATTCGGAATCGACCGTGATCACCGTGACTTTGACATTCAAGTTTTCCTCCAGCATGGAGATCACATTGTAAGAGAACGAGTCGTAAGCATCCACGTAGAGGATGCGGCCTGACGATGTTCCGTTCATTGAAGCTGCAGGACGTCCGGACGTCCCATTCTCGATGGTTGGGATTTGCATTGGAGAAAGATAGCTGAGGAGAGTTGATGTTACATAAAACGAAAGACGATGAAGTGTATATCTATCGACAAGGAGGAAACCTGAAAAAAACAAACAATAATAATTGCTCGTAACTGTACAGAAAAAGCAAACCAGCTAAGCATCCACTGGATGGCAATCTGTGTCCAGGGTCTTAATAGTAGTAGATTCCTGGCAAAATCGCGCTGCCATGATTGGCAAGAGCCAGGTCACAACCCATACATCCTTTGGAAACGCAAAAAGAGAAAAAATAAAATAAAATTAAACTGGATCGACAGGCAAAATAAGCAGGAAATTATAATTGAAGCGTATCAATTCCGGGAGAAGGACGTGGCGACCTAAGGCAACGACGGCAAGTCATGGCGACAATGAGCAAACTTTGTCCTTGCTGATGCGAGCCAAGAACGCCTCCAGCCGGCCCGAGAAGAGCCGCGGCTTGCCGAGACTCGGGTGTCGGGACTGGCGGAACCCTAACCCTAAACCCTATTAGCATTATGTCCATAGTCATACTGATACCCTCTGCTGAGCAAAGAGATTAACCAAGTTCAAGAATGGCCTACCTAACTAGTGAATGTGAAGGCTTTAGAGAAGAGATTCTATTCTTGTTTCCGCCCTCTTTGTTAGAATAGTCGTCTTTACGGCTGGCTGTAGGTATTTATTAACTTAGATGAATCTACCTGATTCACCATGTAGCAGGGTGGTATGTTCGAATAGTACACTATTGAGAAAATGAATCACTCGTCTAGATACCTACTCTCCAGTATCTCACGTACATTCAACCGATCGTTTGGATCAGGATGCAAGACTTGGACAAGGAATTGGATATCTTCGCCTGCAACACCCTTCGCAACCATGCTATTAGCGCACGTGTAAGCTTCTTCTGGTCGTGGTGGGGGTAATAGCTTATAACACTGATCATATTGGCATAGTATGGTACAGAATGCAAATCAAAGTCAATAGCAAAGGCGTCATGAACAGACTTTGTCTTGTCCTCGAGGGTTCCAGTAGATATTAATACAGTCCGGGAGATTTGAAGTCAACTTCTGCCTGGAGCAACTGCGCCAGCTGAGATGAGGCCTTTCATGTGGACTGTGTATATGCCCCTGAGAACGCCTTTCATGATCCATTTGATCTCTCGTGTCGTAAATGGTCGTGTGTTTCGAGCATCCCAGAGGGTCTCTTGAAATGGTTCAAGGATCATCATCGGTCCACAAGGCTCTGAGCCAGGCACAAAATCAACTAATTGTCGAATCATAGGAGCCTTTGCAAATAGTCTCTGCATTTCCAATTCATGCTGAAAGGCCGGTCAATTTTTAGAGGAATCGTCATCCTCAGATGGCTGCTT